AAATAAGCTTTAATTTGATGCATGTCTTGAACGCCTCAGAGAGTTGTGAGTATTTTTTAAAAATAATTTTGGGAAGTGCGCGTAATTACCATTAAGGTCTATGGCAGTCTATTTACTGGTCTGTCGATCCCTCATTTCTAATACGTAGTTGAGGGGTGCATTTTCTAATTTCTAATGCGTAGTTGGTGATGCATGTGTGGACAGCTTGGGACAGACAGCGTCGTGAGCGGTTGTCAGCACCTGTACAACAAGTGATGAGTACGCGGGGGTTAAAAGCTAGAGCATCTATGCAGGGCATAGATTCCTCTAGTTGTGCCCTAGCTGGCAGTTTCATCTCTTTTGCCTCATCTTCATCTTCATGGCACCAAGGCCTAATTGCATGGCGCTACTTAAGTGTCGGGGGGGAAAAAATGAACTTCCTTATTTTAAAGTAGCAAATTTCAAGTTGTAAACACTTGAAACCATTCTACACCACAATGCCCCAGAAGATTACGGTCATATTGACTTGTATACTGATGCGATCAAGCTAAATGAGTCGTTTGTCGACCCTGGTCAATTTCTTTTTTACAGTTTTGAAAAGATCACAATCTCAGCATTACTGATGTGAAAACCGCATGTTGATACCATCTTTAGTTCACAAATTATGGAAGTGGGAACACCTAGAGATACATGTATGATGAAGTAATGTTATGAAGGGGCCCTATTTGGACCTGAATCTCCAAATGAAAGTTCCCAACAAACGACTCATTTAGCTTGATTGCATCACATATGGTCAAGTTTTGTAGACCTTACATTGTAAATTTAGGCATAATAAGATAGTGGAGGAATCAGAAATTATGTTTGTTTCAGCTCAAAATTGATTTCAATGGTTCACTGCACCTCCACTCCAGCTGATGTGCTATGTAACCAGCTGGTTTTAAAATTCTGAGCCGATAACGAATCCCGTACCCGCACCATTTCTGACGGTCCCTATTACTAATTAAATACTCTCCACGCACTAGGCTTTTTATTATGCACTAGGCTTTTTATTACCTCAAATCGGCCCTCCATGCCATAAATTTTCAAGATCGTTTGGGGTCACTGATTCCCTTAAAATGTTAATTCCAAACTGCCCGCATGATTTACCCATTACAGTTTGATATTCAACCACCCAGCTTGGTTTACATACATGATGCATGTGTACATTTGGCCGGTTCCACACATCGCTAATTACCCAAAACACTGTTGGGACAAGAGCCGGTACCCAGGTGGTCTTGCATTACATGACATCACAACATGCAGTGCTCGGTGTAGGTAAAGGAGGATGCGTGTACATTACATAGACTTGCCCAATTTGGGTTCCTGGAAAGGAAATTTGACACGCGCCAATCTGAGCACATTTTGGTCACAGTATACATGTACATGTACGTGTCGTAATTTGTCCTGTGGTTTTGATTATTTTAATTTGTTTGGTACGGTAACCTCATTAGTCTCTTGTTTGCTTTCGTAATGCCTTTTACTCTAAAATCTTTTGTTCACTCCTGAAAAAAATTAATGAGTCTAATTTCTACATAAGGCAGGTTGAATTATTAAGTGGAACACACCTCTAGGCTGCCTTCAACATGGCTTGAAAATATAAAAGTACTTTAAATTTGTAGACAAAAATTTAAAAGGACTCCAAGTTGATTAAGAAATGTAAGTTTGATAGAGGAAGGTTTAATTGACAGAGGAATGTTGTGCTACATGAACCGTAGATGTAGGATCAAACCTCGTACGTACATCCTCCTAACATAATATTTTGAAGATCAGTCACTTTAATGTGGCAGATATTGACTAATTTAGAAGATACCGGTAATAATAATAACAATAATAACAATAATAATAACACCGGAGTCTTACATGCATATAGCACATGTATTTACCAACAATTAGGTACTCAAGGCGCTAATTAATATGAATTTATTTTAAAGACAGGTAACAGATAATATATATTTTAATCAATCCACAATGTAAGGAAAACTAAATATAGGGGAATTTCATCCATAAAAAAAGTTAGAAAGCTGCTTTGCACCCTCCGCTAAAAGCTAGAAAAAGCAAAACAAAAGCCGTCGGGAGCAGATCTGCTACAAGCCCATTTTGATGACGTCAAGCTCAGGCTCTACAAGCAAATAACTGTTTTGTGCCATACCCGTGCACCTACATGTATGCGTGAAGTGCATACACAATACAGCCTTCCATTTTATGATTCACTTGTGAATTGAGACAATTTAGGCCTATTGTCTGACAGTGCATCTGATTTTAAAGACTTAACAAAGGAAGAGAGAGGTGCAGTTTTTTTACCAAAATGTTCATGAAGAATTAATGAAATGTTGGAAAGCTTGAGAATTACCAGTAGATGACTAATTTAAGGTCGCATCCACGTATCGTGTATGTTTAATGCTGTGGACAGCCAATACAGGCCAAGCTTTGATTTTTGCGTGGGGCACGAAAGCCGTTGCATGACATACCGGTACATGTACCAGTACATGTAAGCAAATGGGCTATTTCTGTTTGCTAACCTCAAGGACGCAATTTTTCATTCTGAGTATTCCCGTGCTAGTCTTGTGCCACCAAATGTCTTTTTTTTTTCATCGATGTGGGAGTGAGATACTGGGTACCCTTTTCTTAATAACTGGTAATGGACAAGCCCCAGACGAAAACCGCATTTTTATGGTACTTAATTAAGGCAAAATGGCTGCGTAACTAAACTTTGCATCTTGTACATTACACATGTACATAACAATGTATGTACAGGGTACTTACTTTCATTTGCACTAAACAACAATGAGGAAGGAATAATCTTGTAATACATGTTTGTCATGTACAAACACAAAATGGGTTTCTTGGTTTTGCCGTTATTCAAACATATCTTTGGATTTACAATTAAGCAATCTCAATGAAACAAAAGGTATTCTCAAACTAAATCTATTACCTTGAAGATGGTGTAAACATCCGCAGAAAATTTTGGTTGTAAATTAGCAAAAATTGAGGGGTTTACATGCACCATTTTTTTCAGGACGCCCTGTATATATGTATAATGTGAGCTTGCCATTTACGAAAATGTTGCATCCTCTGAAAGCTAAGGAACAGATCGTAACCTTCGACACAAAAAACTCATTTACAGCGTGCTGCAAAATAGTGCAAATGCCCCAAAAGACAAACAACACACTGGGGCACTCCAAAAAAGTGACCTGATTTGAATGACCCGATCTTTGCCCATCCTTCATAATAATCCCACTGGTGTCGTAGCTAAGGTGTTAAAAGAACCTCCCCCTTCCATCCGCTCCATTAACAGTCTCTCACACCATCTCATGATTGCTAAGAACAGGTAAAGATCCGGTCGTCACATTTTTTTATTCCCCAAACCATAGCATGGTGTCTAAACTAAACCTCCGACAAAACTGTCAAATCTGGCAGCCTCACGTCTAGTCGGACAATTCACACTTAACTGATATATAAAGCTCACACCGGTGGTGAGAATCCAGAGATGCTTGCCAGTGCATCTTGGGTAAAGGTTTGACGTCTGTTTGTAAACACTGCTTAGACAGTATGTGGTACTTTGTATGTACATGTACCAAGTGGCTTGCTCAGGATGTTAAAGAGGTTGTGGAATGCTCGAAGACATTTCCGTCATTTTTCGGGTATATGTAGCCTAAGGTGTGATGAAATAAAAACGACTATTATTGTGTCTGTCATGAAATGAGTACAAAAGGTACTTTTGAGAGCTGTTTTTCAGGTCCTGTTTCGACCCGAACGTGCAATTTGTGTAAAAGTCGGCGTTGGGGGCAACAAACAAAACATAGTAAATCGTGACGTAATAAACAGGACTCGTTTATACTACGCTGCATCGGGAGTCCTGTTTATTACGTCACGATTTACTACGTTTTGTTTGCTGCCCCCTACGACGACTTTTACACAAATTGCACATTCGGGTCGAAACGGGACCTGAAAAACAGCTCTCAAAAGTACCTTTTGTACTCATTTCATGACAGACACAATAGTTGTTTTTATTTCATCACACCTTAGGCTACATACATTGTATACCCGAAAAATGACGGAAATGTCTTTGAGCATTCCACAACCTCTTTAACATAGGGGCAACTCCAGCATTATGTTACGTCCGTGACGGAGCTTTTAAAAACTCCGTGAATAAACCTGATAGTCTTTTTTTCAAATCTAATACAGCATCCATCATCTAGTAATGGTGGAGGAGATTACAGACTGGGTGCTTTGGATCATATCTCTGAATCCTTAACTGGGCAATTCCACGGTTACTCACGTTACATTTTTGATGTACTTTTGAGTTTCCTTGGGCTGTAATTACATGTGTACATGTACCTTACTGAAAAGGTTTAATAACTGTTATCCCCATGGTAGATAGAGTATACCTAGACCTACCTAATCACCAAAGATGACATCCAGAAAAATGTGTTATGTATGATAAACAAATGTTACGAAAATGTAACGTGAGTAACCGATTTTGTGCATCTTGTTTATTATACATAACACATTTTTCTGGATGTCATCTTTGGTGATTACATGTAGGTAGGTCTAGGTCTACTCTACATGTATCTACCATGGGGATAACAGTTATTAAACCTTTTCAGTAAGGTAATTACAGCCCAAGGAAACTCAAAAGTACATCAAAAATGTAACGTGAGTAACCCTGGAATTGCCCAACCCAATATCGTGGTTAATTGACATCACACTTCCATTCATAATGCTGGAACTGCCAATTATAGCCATTCAGAGGAGAAGTCAGCTTCCAAGTGTTTTGGAGATTTTCTTGGTGGAAAATGATGATTTTTATTTTGGGGAGCTTCCAAATTCTCTTTAGACACTGCAAAATATCCAAAGAAAAAACCTTAAGGTACATATACCTATTAAAGGTTAAAGTGATGGCCAAAATTTGGGGGAGATAATAACCCTTTGAAGAGAACATTTTAAGAATTCCCACGCGGATAAATCAAAGTTGTTCTTACCCTTCCTTCGCTCTTCCAAATGATGAAAAATGCGTATTCATCCACTCGAAAGAAGCAGTTCTGCTCAACACTGCCAGAATCCTGCATGAAAAAAAAATACACCACATTGTAGATTCCTTTTCTAAATTGCTTTTTTTTTGCTAGCAATACAAAAGTTATTCACATTTGAGTGGGACATCAACCAAAAAAGAATCGGCCAATGTTTAGTTATTTAATTATCACTTTACGATTTTGAATTATTGGTTGCCAGACATTCCATTCTTGTGGCTGGTTCCTGCCCTACAACAATCAGTATCGATAATGTACTGGCCGGGAGCCAGTCTGTTTGCAAGGGAGGGAAGAGGTTTGGGGTTGAAATCAAACATACAAGTGGAAATCTATTAAGAAAAAAAAAAAACTTTAAGAGGGAGAGGAGCATGAAGTTGAAGGTGACAGGTTAAGAAAATATTATTACTACAGAAGGGGTAATAGGAATGCATCTTCTGTATGCACTCAAACTATTTGACTAGTTTTGTACTAGTAGAAGAAACTTGCATGTACAATGTATGCCAACAGATTTGTAATACATGTACCCAAGTAGAGCAGCCAAAATTTCTATCCAATTTCAAATTGAATGTACCCGGTACCTTGTCAATCCCAACAACAACAAACATTTCACTTTCAAACATGTTAAAACTAGAAACAAGACTAAAGGATTTGGGGTAATAAAAACACAAACACAAAGATACTACAAGCAATCCACTCAAAAACCAGTCCCTTCCTTTCTTCGCATTTCATACAAGAGTTGCAATCTACAAACATTTGTATTTCAATGATTACAAAATGCATGGCAGATCAGCTTTTATAACACTCCTAAAATTGCCTATATTGTATAAGTTCTGGTTTATATTTTCTGTTTCTTTATTTTTTTTGTAGGACGGCTATCTCCAGTTATCTAAACCGATCGTGCCAGGGCCGATAATTTACGACTGGAATTCTAGGGGGCCCCTGCGGACGGACGAGGATTTCTTCCTGTAGCCCATTAGGATGACTGCCCCGTGCATGGTGCAGCATCAGGAATGCCGGGGTATTTTTTTTTTCTTTCTTTGACATAAACTGGAATGACGCGGCCTTTGGCATTTTCGCATCATTCCCATCATCCTGGCTGTTGGGTTTTGTCCGTACAGCATTGCATGGCGCTGAGAGGGAAAGGAATCACTGATATATGCCGTCGGCTGGCCCCGCATCAATTCGTCATGTTATTTCCGATGTGTTTCTCTGCCTTTTCATGGTGGAATGTAAACAGGGATGGCGGAGGTGGAGAAAAGTATGGGGGAGGAAAAGAGGAGGCAGGAAGGACATGGGAAGGTCTGACTGAAGGTCTTCACATAGCTCCTTGGAAGTTCCAACCAAAACAAGTTGTTTTTATTATTGGGGTTATTTGTCTTTTAATTTAAGTTTATTGGCATCTTCGTTCATACATCATAAACATACAGTGTACACATACCGTACATACATGTACATGTACTGGAATTTGTATCCTTGTGGAGTCATTTCTTTGTTCCCATGTACTAAAGTTTTCGAGTTTGAAAGTGTAGTTTCAAAATGCTCCTATTTTAACCAGAATTAATTTCCTGGGCTGAAATTCGCCATGTTGTTGAGGTCCCTTTAAGAACACCGAGCTTTGTTTACAAATTTGCAATATTGGATGATAATGAATTATAAAATGGCACTATCAAATTATCAAAGTTTTCTCTCTGCCAATAAAGCAATAATTGTAATGCTATTTGTTTTTTCTCTGGTTGTTGTTGTTGTTTGTTTCCTTTGTTTTGGGATTAGTTTTCTTTGTTTGTTTAGGTTTTAATGGAGTACAAACAAAAGAGGGACAATAGGACGTCCACGATCGACTGTGAACACCCGTTTGCGTGGGTGCGTGTTTATGGTGTAAATCTTGGACACATGCGTGCAACACCATCGATGAATTGAGGACAGGAACCAAATCGAGGATGACCCCGATTAGAAAACGTGTACAAAACCAATGAGAGCTGTTGCCAGTTGCATAAACAAAGGAAAAGGGAAGAGGAACAATAGAAAATCCTCGATTTACAACATAAACAAACGTGTGGGTACGGTTCATGCATTCATTGAAAGTGCAATAAAATGGCAATGAATGTATTGTATTTCTTAAATGCAGAATACAGTTTGTGTACAATGTATGTTTGATTGACCTACCGATAACAAGGAATCATAATACAAAATGAGTTGGCGGAAATGTTATAATCTGGAACAAAAACTGCCTGAGGGGGAAAGTTTTCCAATTGTCGCTTCTTTTTTTATTTATCTGTGAGTCAAACACACAGAATCTATTTCTGGCTTTATAACTATTTCTGTATTGTCTCGGTGCATTTCATACAACTGCAGAAATAGATATAAAAGATGACTGGCAAGCTTTAAGCTCAAGTCACCTCAACAATAACAACTATTAAAAAAACTCTTCCATCAAGTTTTTTTTCTCCGAAAACGTTGAGCCAGCGCCGCGATAAATCTTAATTTGATTAACGCTGTCATTTTATCCAACCCTGTACACATAAATAACCTTGTGTGTGAAAGAAAACCCACCTGTCCGGAGAAAAAAAAATGTAATTTAATTTTGTCCCCGGTATTCCAGAATGTCAGAAATATTGGTTTCTCTGGCATCGATACTGTGTGGGACAGATGCAGTGTTTTGCTCGATATTTCACCTGGGTGACATTCAGATCACAAAGTGACTAAAGAAGCAGCATGTACATGTACTCGTACATGTACTAGTACATTTGTTTATGGTGTAAATCAAGGATTTTCTTTTGTTCCTCTTCCCTCTTCCTTTGTTTGTACTCATTGGTTTTGTACATGTTTTCCAACCCAAGAGTCCTCGATTCGTTTTCTGACCTCGATTCACCAATGATGTTGCACGTGTGTGTCCTCGATTTACACCATAAACAAATGTTAGTAATACACGTACATACACAAATACCAGTCCAACGTCTGATTCACTGGTATCTAAGCATGCAAATGTATGCGACACTGTGCGCCAGCCAATTGGAGTTGACATGACGTCATTTCATTCCAAAATGTGGACTAAGCTGTTGATTGGTCAATTACAACACGCATTATTTAAAATATGATGTGATGATCGTTTGAAGCAACAGGACGTTTGCGCATTGCATGACATATCGTTACAGGCCACGTGATGCAGTCAAATTTTGCAAATTCAGAGCATACTGACCGGAACGTCGAGTTCATACCTCTGGTTCTTTTCAGAACCATTCTCTTAGTTGAGAAATTATTCCCACATGGTGTTTCCGCAAACCTTTCATTATTTAGTATCTCCACCATGCAAAGCCTCAAATCTTACTTATTTAGATGTCATGTTTAGTAAATAAAAGATACCTTTTTGGGACTTGAGTTACAGAGCTCGTATCAGGAGCTTGCGACACCATCACGGTGTCTTTAACTGGCGTTGTTGAGGCCCTCATACAAGCTCTGTAACTCAAGCCCCAAAAAGGTATCTTTTATTTACTTGATATAATAATGGGACTGGAAACGAACTTTCGTGCTCGATGTCATATGTCTAGGTTTCATTTATAGATGTCCATGACAATGGGTAACCGAAAACCCGACATAGAAGGCGCCCGCTGAATGGTCAGAATCTCGATGTCAAGATGCAGTCTTGTTTTGCATAATTAATCGCCGAATCTGCTCGTACATGTATACATATCATAGACCCTTCCTGTATACATATCATAGACCCTTCCGGAAACTTCACAGACTAGCCTGCAACAACAGGTTATTATTCAACAGAAATTATTCAAAATTATATTAATTTTGACTTTTTTAAAAGTATTTAGGCACCCTGACTGTCTGATACCATTAGTGATGCTACATATTTTTTAACTTGATACCATGTTGTTGAGGTCCATTTAAGAACACCGAGGTTTGTTTACAAATTTGCAATATTGGATGATAATGAATTATAAAATGGCACTATCAAATTATCAAACTTTTCTCCCTGCCAATAAAGCAATAATATTAATGCAACTTTTTTTTTCTTTCTCTGGTTGCTGTTGTTGTTTGTTTTCTTCATTTTGAGATTAGTTTTCTTTGTTTAGGTATTTATGGAGGGGGTGTTGGAGGAGATTTGGCTTTTTTCCCTTTTTTTTTTTAACTTTATTTATTTGGTCTTTTTAAATTCCCACATCCAAGGTACAATATGGGAAGACTTGTATATATTTTAAATGAAACCATGGCAATAATGACCTATGCTTAATCAAGAACAGCCAATGCAGCAAGAGTCTACGGTAGCAACCCAGCCGACAAGCGCATCCACTAGATCGATATCCGGCTTGTTACTGACTAACGACCCTTGCTGCAGGTGCACCCAGCCCTACTGACAATTCATCAATGCGGAAATACCGGTACGTTTGACATTGTCTGACTATGCTTTTTAAACCATACTACTGTTCTCTGCACTGTCACCAAATGGATCCAAGAGTACTACATTATACACCGTATATTATATAGTGTTCCTGCACATACACTTTAAAGGAAAAATACATTTGCAAACATTGAAAAATAAAACTACCAAGTTTTTACGAAATACCTTACTAGGATGTTGGTAAATGACAGTCTAAAGCATCCTGTAAAATTACGGCACCTGGTGTGAAGTCATTTTCAAGAAAATGGTATTTTTGTATACATTTCCAACGGTGGTCGGCCGACCACCGTTGGAAAAACCTAACTATTTTTCATCTACTGCTCCAACTTTACACTTTTTTCAGTCCAAATTTTGTTTGCTATTGGTTACATGTTCATGAACGGGTGCAGGCCAGCTAGACTGGTTCCCTTACCTTACAATTTTCCGGCATCTATGAATTGATCCATTTTATCTTTAGTGGAGTCAAGGAACCAGAGTACTTGAACATTTTTGTTTTTCTTGGTTTTTCCAGCATTTTCGAACACAAAACTTCAAACATGTCAGTGTAACAATATTTGATCTATTATACTAACCCCTCAAATAGTTCATTTCTGAAAATTACAGCAAAAGCCAATGATGTACATTCCCT